CCAGTTCTTCTGTGATATTTAGTTATTTGTAACTCACTAAAAAAATGTGAAAACTGAATCTCTTTTGCAGCGCTTATTAGAAGGATTAATAAACAAATGCAAATCATTATTATCATTTATCATTCATGTTACATGGGTTTGAATTGAGATTTCAATCTTTTTAATGTTTAATTGTGCAGCTTTACATAGAACACATTAATGCAGGCTAAATAAACAGTGACAGAAAACTTATTTAACTAATAGCCTAAGAAAGCATTTAGGCAGGTCCCACCACAACTTTTTCCGTCATTGCTATATTTTACAGGGACACCAAAATGCTTTCATACACATGATTTGAATGACGCAGGAAGGGATCTATCTGCAATTGTTAAAAATGTTGGATGTTGGTCACTGTGATCCGTACACCCCTAATATATATATATATATATATATATATATATATTTATATATATTTATATATATATATATATATATATCCCTGTTGTCAGATGGCCAGAAAGTGATCCATTTTTTTAGAAATTGGTAAAATATTTATGTCTGTGATGCAGCAAGTCCAGAGACTGTTGTGTAGACCATGATTTTTTTTTTATATATAAAAATGACTTTAATGTGAGATATAACTAAAAACAATTGTCAAAAATAAATATTTTCTCAATTCAAATAAGTAGCGGCTTGGAACCAGAAACAGTATTTCATACGTCACTACTTAACAAGCAGATATAATTCATAAAATTAATCAGTTAATTAGTTTAAAGGAAGCTTGTATAATTAATGGAGTTTAGTCAGCCCAAAAAATTCCTATTATTAACCACTCTGAACACACCCAGCAGGCACAGGTCGTCAACATGACGTCAGATTGACATTGTACCCCAACGTCGTGAAACATTGCATTCAGGCCGACGTCAATGTCCAACTTCAGAAAAATGTTGCATTTTGGTTACTTTCCCACACAACCTAAAAACAACAAAATATTACTGTCTAATGATGTTACAGCTTGACGTTGTGTGAACCAATATGACGTCAATCAGACGTTGGATTTTGGTTGCCAAACCAGACAAATAAATGTCAGTTTGACATCAATATGATGTTGTATTAAACGTTGGCTCGACATTGGATTTCGGTCACTTTAAAACACAACCTAAAATCAACAAAATATCAGCATCATTTCAAAATAATGTCCTTAGATGCTTTTATGCAAGCAATTATGCATAAAAATGTTGTAAGAAATTGTCATTTACATAAAAAATCCCTTTACTGTGTGCTCAGGTTCTGCAGAAGACGGCCCAAGAGCGGTATTCATGGTAGACCTGTGGCATCCAAACGTGGCCGCAGCTGAAAGACAGGCACTGGACTACATCTTCACTCCCGGCCGCTGAAGGAGAGCAGCAACAAGCAAAGGGTCAAAGATTTCCATTGTATCAACAGAACGAATCGAGTGCAAAGGGAAAGACAGGAGTGTGGAGAGAACGTCGCTCTCTTCCTGTAGTACAGTATACGTACCTTTACTCTCACTTTCCCTCCTGGCACTGCTTCAGTAGAGACTTTGATGTACCGTCACTATTGTACATTATCAGTGTTTACAGACCTCCTTGAGTCTTAACCATAGCAAAAACCTGCTGTTGAACTGTGCTTGAGACTAAGCCCTCGCGTAGATCTTACAATTTAGCTGCAGGGTCACATTATAATCAATATCTTTACACCTGACAGTCAATCGCACATGGAAATGCACTTTGTTTTTTGCTAAGCCTGGTCACTAAAGTCAGGTGGGATTGTATAGGAAGCACAGTACATTGTTTGGTCTGTACATTTTTACCAAGGTTAGGCTCACAGAAGCTAAGCTAAACAGTCGTAAAACTGGCACATGCTGCAGAGACAAGAGATTTGACATTTGCTGTAAAGCTACGTGGATATAAGGCAGAGATGTTATGCGAAGCGAACTGAAGCACTACCAGCTTTTGTGTAAACTGACCTCCATTAAACGCACTATAGCGGCACGTATTTTGCTGCCACCAAGAAGTCAGGGTCGGATGGAAAGTATATGAGCACATCAAATCAGCCTGCTTTCCACTTTACTCTTTCCTAACCTTGATTTCTTTTAATGAATTGAATCGAAACGCGGTATCAATCGCTTTGTAACTCTGTGAAACTAAAGAGAGACACGACGCTTACTGTTTTCGGAAAAAAAACAACAACAACAATGTTATGGCTGTTAATGTGTGCTATTGGTTCAACTTTATTGTGCTTTGTCGTGCTGCTTGTTAGCAGAGCTTTCGTGGTTGTTGCATTGATATTGGTACATTCCTTTTGTAAGACGACAGGCCGTTTTGAGACAAGTTTCGTGAGAAGTGACATTTTATATCGTTGTGAAACTTTTTGGAGTTGCCGATCAATTTTAAGACAACGTTCCTACTTCCATGTTTTGCGAAATTGTGTGCCATGGACTCACTTTGCAATGGATGAGTAATTCTGTCGATTTAATAAAGAATTCAATTTAATATTGCTTTTCTTTGTGGTCGTGCTTGCATTTAAATGTGTTTTAAAATAGTATAAGTCGACGGGGTGTTTTGTATTGATGCAAATCAACAGCGGGTGCATATGAAAACGAGATCTGCATCAGTTTGAGGGTTGGTGACGTGATAATCGCACGTCAAAAGGAAAAACAAGATTATTTTGCTTACCCTACTGGCAGAATATTTTGCTTGTTTTAAGGAAAAACTCACTTAATATTGACACATTATGTTGGCGCCAATAGCCTAGTGGTTAGTGCGTCGATACATAGCACCGAGGTGCTCGCAGCGACCCGAGTTCGATTACCGTCTCGAGTTCCTTTGCTGATCCTTCCCCTATCTCTGCTCCCCACACTTTCCTGTCTCTATATCTCCACTGTCCTATCAATAAAGTTGAAAACCCCTAAAAAATAGTTATAAATATTATATAATATATAAAAAATATTCATAATTTCATATAAAGAAATATTACTATATGAAGATAGGTTTTCAGTAATGATGGTAATCACTTACACTATTTGGATATTATAAAGAGTTTTGTTTTGTTGTGTTTTTTTTTCCATATTAAGGTACAGTTCAGTAAAAAACGGTGAAGGTATTGATAAAGTTATTGTATTTCCTCAAACATCAGACATCAAACTACATATATATATATTCCTCAAAAAGAAGTGTTTTACAAAAAATAAGCATTGTTACTGCCTATTTTCTAACTACTCTTATATCTCTTATATGCAGTTTGGATACATTTTAAAGCAACATGCTGGATGTTTGGAGGATTTTTTAGTATATGGGGGTGGTAGATGGATGGGTAGTGCTGCAAACGGCAGCCATTATCAGACTGCAGCACTGGAGATTTACATAACTAACCTCTTTTGCTAACACCGAGGGGAGAGAGAGATAAACACCAGATGAATGAAAGCGTAGATAAAAGGCAGATGCGATCCACATACGGTTGTCCATATAGTGTTTTGCAGAGGTTGCAGATTCAGCATCCATAATACTGCATAAAATCATGAGTATGGTATTAAAAATAGCATTGATACCAGTGTAAAAGCTTGCATAAGATGGGTTTCTTATGTAATTATTAATAATATTGTCACAATATTCTGATGAATGGTTTGATCAGTGAAATGGGACCCTGGACTACAAAACTAGTCATATGATTGTACGGGTATATTTGTGAAAATCGTTAAAGATTAAGTTAAAAAAATGATATTAGATAAAGCTCATGTTCCATGGTGATATTTTGTATACATCCTACTATCAATACATCAAAACTCTAATTTAAATTCAGAATTTAGTTGTTGTTTTTTAAAGACTCAAATTACAGATCTTAAATAGTTGTTTTTCAGTCAAATATTATAACAGCTTATCTACACTATAAAAATGCTGGGTTTCACACAATTCCTTCAATCTGTCCCAACACAAATCCATTAAGTTAGCTTAATCATTTTTACAAATTTAAGTGGATTGAAAATAAAACGATTAAGTTGTCCCAAAAAGAAATAACAACTGCATGGTTTCCGCTATATTCATTCTTCCATGGCAGGGCGCCACGCCAAAATTCATCCCGCCACAGCTACATTACAGCTTCTCATTCAAAACATATACTTTTTCTTTTTATAGCGGGTAATAATCACACCAAAACGTATTAAAGGGTAAGTAAATTATAACAGCGTGAACTTCTCTGTAACCGTAGTAGTGCTGTGTGTCATTTGTTTAACCTTTTTAGGTTACGTGCTGACTCACTGACTGGCAGACTGACAGGCGCATGATGCGTGAGGCCAGCAAACACGACGTATAGCCCTTTCACTTTACTTCAGGACGAATTAACATCGCTCTGTAGGTTTATTGGGGAGACATTCATAAATATTCCTAGCAAATCTAATAAATGCTGGAGACATACTTGTTACATAAACGCACTAAATCGCACTTCAGCATTTATTTGAGAGCGCACAAGATCTGTGCGGTGCGCGCTCTTGAAGCGGCTTATATTTGAGGGGGCGTGCAAAAAGTTTTGTCCACGAGCAGAGGAAATCGGCACGCAAGCAAAGAGATCCGCATGCTGTAGGCTTTTACATAAATGCGATCTCGACTTCTAATACTGCGCTCACGACATTTGTCATTGAAATAGCGTCAAAGGTAGATCTGTGCTAAAAAAAGACCTGCTGCCACAGCTGAAAAAAATCCTAGAGGAAACACTGAACTTTGTTGTCTCAACTCATTTGAAACAAGTAGTTTGAACATGCAGCAAAAGTCATTTTTTGGGTGTATTTAGCTTTTACAATAATGCATAAATCCAAAGATTGACACTTATTAGTGATTTGTTGTCCATGGTCACAAATATCTTTCCCAAAATGGGGAAACTGTTTATTTACTCCTAATATTTAATACATACTCTCACCGGCTACTTTATTAGGTACACCTTACTAGTACATGGTTGGACCCCCTTTTGCCTTTAAAACTGCTTTAATTCTTCGTGGCTTAAACTGCCTTAATTAAACAAGATACTGGAAATATTCCTCAGAGATTTTAGTCCATATTGACATGATAGCATCACGCAGTTGCTGCAGATAAAGGGATGGACTTGGTCAGCAACAATACTTAGGTTGTCTGTGGTGATGACACCATGCTCAATTGATACTAATGGGCACTAAGTGTGCTAAAAAAAATATCCCCCACACTATTACACCACCACCACCAGCTAGAACTGTTGATACAAGACAGGACGGATCCATGCTTTCAAGTTGTTGACGCAACTTGACCCTACCCTACTTGAACTTCTGACCCTACCATCCGAATGTTGCGGCAGAAATGGAGACTCATCAGACCAGGCAACATTTTTCTAATCGTTTATAGTCCCATTTTGGTGAGTCTGTGCAAATTGTAGCCTCAGTTTCCTGTTCTTAGCTGACAGGAGTGGCACCCAGTGTGGTGATCTGCTGCTGTAGCCCATTCGCCTCAAGGTTAGATGTGTTTTACGTTCAAAGATGCTCTTCTGCCTACTTTGGTTGTAACAAGTGATTAATTGAGTTACTGTTGCCTTTCTATCAGCTCAAACCAGTCTGGCCATTCTCCTTTGACCTCTGGCATCAATAAAGGCATTTGCACCCACAGAACTGCCGCTCACTGGATATTTTCTCTTTTTCAGACCATTCTCTGTAAACTCTAGAGATGGTTGTGCATGAAAATCCCAGTAGATCAGCAGTTTCTGAAATACTCAGACCAGCCCGTCTGGTACCAACAACCATGCCACTTTTAAAATCACTTAAATCACCTTTCTTCCCCATTCTGATGCTCTGTTTGAACTGCAGCAGATTGTCTTAACCATGTCTACATGCCTAAATGCATTGAGTTGCTGCCATGTGATTGGCTAATAACAAATCTGCATTAATGAGCAGTTGGACAGGTGTGCCTAATAAAGTGGCCAGTGTGTGTACATAGGCAATTCATATAGAACAGGTTTTACAATGTAAATAGCCATTGAGCTCACATTTTTGCAGCATTAAATCTAAAATAGAAGAATTCGTATGCAAAAACCTCTAAAAGTGCCGTCTAAAATGTCTAAAATTGTCAGGCTCCTATGTTTATGTTCAGTTCTTTCACTTTAATAGCAATGAAAAGAACACATTAATCACAATAAAGGTAAAATCATTGAACCTACACACAAGAACAAGAGAAAATGTACAAGAACATTGCTAAACTTTTGAAATGCAGAGCACAATTTTAAACAGATTCAGTGTGAAGTGCCCATTACAAGTTTTAATTGCACATGGAACATAACAGTACATGGAACAGTGTGCACTGTGATTCTTTCCAATCAGAGGATATTAAACATCCTTAATCATTTAAGCCAGTTTAATAAAAATAAAAATCCTTGGTGGTGATTGGTCAATAGAAAGCTGCAGTAATGATGTCAAAAACACAGAAGAACAATTTGCTTATGGTCACTTGTTTATGAGTGTGTCTAATTTACATTGTAGAGCACATATAATCAAGTAATGTTCACCAAAGACCTTAATTTATTCATAAAAGAAGAAAACCAATAAGAATATTGAGGAAACAATGTCTAAATTTGCTGACTTCATATGAAATTTCCTACATACCACTTATTAAGTTCTGATTAGCTTGTCACATTGCTTGTTTTCATTTTTTTGTCTGAAAAGAATCAAATGTAGCTGCAGGTTGCTTGCAGGTGACTTTGAATTTTCAAAGAACATGCTAAGCAATATTATAGTAATATGGCCAGTCTAACTCAGAAACTCACGTATCAAAATTATCTTAAAGTTCCTAAGTAGTTAAAAAAAGACTTCAGTGGCTGTTTATGTCTAATTAGAAAACTGTTTAACATGTTTAAACTAGAAAACTTGTACAAAATCTAATTGATATCTCAATGACATATTATAAAATAAAATATAATAAAACTTGTGGGAAAACAGTAGTCTAATTAATAAGTAGTGTCTACGTAATTGGTACTATCTAGTTAGCGGGTGAGTAGACCCTCATGGAACCTGTGTGCGCAGATTTTTAGCCCAGCGTGGGTCTCAATATACTGTTTAAATATGTGCATTTTCATTTATTTAGTTTTTAAATTAATTTCAGTTCTATTTTTGACTAATATTAAAAAGGTTCATTAGATTCATTTACAATACAGATTGTAAAGTAGTATTTGCTGCCTTTTAGATGATATATTATATAAGAGACTTGCTTTGTTTACCAAATAAGTGGATCTAATTGGATTTGCATTGTAAATATTAACTAGGTTTTTAATATTTTTTAATTTTTTTTTATGTATCCCACCTGTCCAAATGGATCCAAGCTGAGATTGAACCGGCAGTTCTTTATATAGGAATCGATTGCTCGTCTGTCGCTAGAGCACTATTTGAGGTCAGAGGAGGTTTACCTGCACAGCACTTTGCTTGCTGACCTCTGTTACACTCACCTCTATCCCGGACGAGCCCCCTCGAATAACCCATTGGTCCTACAGCATCCA